GATTGACCCCATCTAAATGTGGAACAAAAATGCCGTTTTTGGTGCCATGATCATTCAAGCCTTTCAAAGATTAACTTATTTGACATTCGTTTGACCTGAAATGGTCAAGCCTATGTAACTTACTTAAGCACATAAGTAAGTTACATATGCTTTGACCATTTCAGGCTCTGACGAAGGCGAAGAAGCCGAAACGTAAGCCTAATAAAAAGTTCAATCTTGAAAGGCTTGAAGAATCATTCCTACTGAACTAATCATGCCAAGATTGCAAGAAGGTCGAACATGGACTAGTCCTTTTTTATTGCCCCCGCCCCTGTACATCTGAACATGAAGTTATATTCTAGAGAGCAACTGAGGTAATCACAAAAACTGAGAACTACTAGAAATAGTGGAAGGTCGAAAACGGCCAGAATCATAGACAACTAGTACCGTTTTGAGGTATACAATCTCCAGCAGCATGTCTGACCTAAATGTAGTTGACAAAAAATGATATGGACTTCTCAGCCTTTTCAATAAACCTCTTAGAGCCCCACATTCATAAAAATACTTTATTTAGCTGTTATTCTTTGTGTGCCACACAGGTTTTGTACGAATCTTTATTGAGACTGACGTTTCGACTAACTCGTCGTTCTCAAAGTCCTCAACTCCGCCAGCACCACCGCTCTTCGTTCAACAGCCTCCCTCGATGCCTTCCAGAGACACTTACATTTACATTTACATTTATTTCCGTTATTCATCTGACATAAACAGAGAAACGGGCCATGATCTGGAACCATTCAGAAGTCGTCACCGTGTTCTGCCAGTCTGCTCCCGCGAACATCTTGAAATCGTCTTCCCACCGCACTCTTCCAGAGACAGTAGAATAAATAATAAATAAGTAAACTTTATTTAGCATGACACGACTTCACTTCCACTATGCCCTCCCGGATGGTTAAACCTGGCGACAGACAAAAGTTAGCTTTCATCAAGTTCGATTATAACTGGCCACTTGCTCGGCAGGACGGTATACAAAAACTGCAGTTTCGACAAACATTCTGTTATTGCCTTTCTGTGATTGCTCAAAAACAGAGTTCGCTCCAAACTTGATTTTATGAGCGAAGTTTTGTGGAAAAGGCCTTCAGACGCAGAACGTCGTTGTTGAAATGGCCTTGAGCAAGGTTTATTTTCGAGCAACTACAGAGAACATTACCAAAACAAAACTAAGAAATCAGTTGATCTTATATGATTAAGGATTCTATCATGAAAAATGAGGGCGGAAGTGGTGTAGTGGCAAGTGGCACGCTTACCACGCGAGCGGTCCGGGGATCAAATCCTGGGTCGTGAGTCGCCCGGGCCAACCAAGCCTTCCATCCCTCCGGGGTCGGTTAATTGGTACCAGACTTGTCTGGGAGGATAAAAACACTGACTTGTACATCGGCTGGCCCCCGCAAGTCATTGTATAGGCCACATCGCATTCAAACGCCACTGCGAATGTACAAATGGAAGTATTAGGTTGGCCAGATTGAAATGTCGCTCCTATTTGCATCGTAGTTTCTGAGCTATAGCACAACCTCTCACAAGGCGGGTGCACTCATTCGAGAGACTGTGTCCAACTGCACTTTACGATGTTGTATCTGCCTGTGAACGTTTGAATTCAAGCCACAATTTTTGTTTGAAGACGTTTGGTCAGAAACATCGTGTGGACATGTGCATGTGACATAACCCAAAACAATGGAAATTGGGTAAGGAGTTCTATCGTGTTCTGTGCGAAATACTCGACAGTGAGGCGCACTATCCTGCGGCAGTGCCTGCGATGACCGCTGCGTTTTCTAAAAGGAGGCAGGAAGCACAAAGGCGAAATTCATCAGAATTTTCTTGCAATTCTGGCTAATGAAGAACTTAGAAATGGCACTTAACAAAAGTATTCACGATGTGAAATCCTAAGGGGTTTGGCTACACTGCAGCTACAAACGATAGTCATTTACGAGTGATTGGTAGAGTAAATCGGTGCAAAAACCAAATTTTGCAGCTGCAAAACGACACTTGCCAAGCGGAGTGTGTTGCGAAAATAGCGCAGCAGAAAATCGAGGAGTTAAGCTGGAACGTTCTGCCTTTCGCGCCATTTAGCCCAGATCTGGCACCGTCCATTCACCATTTATTCAGGTCAGCGTAGCTTTCCTTAGTAGGGAAGGAGACTGAGTAACCGCGATGACGTCAATATTTGGGTTCCCAACTTTTTCGAGTCGCAGCCGGGAGAGTTCTTCGAGGAGGACATCCATATTTCGGGTGGTAAATGTAGAAAAGTCATAAATATAGATGGGGAATATATTTAAGACTCAAGAGCTTTGCTTTTGTTTTTATAATAAAAACAAATGTTAGTCAAAACGACATTTTAAAACTGGCCAACCTAAATAGAATGCGTGCCGCATCCCAAAAAGGGATTGGTCAACAACAAATGCTTTATCCTTTTATCCTTTATCATGGAAAGCACAAATAAATGTCAAGCGTACCAAAAGAAGTAGCACAAACATAGGAACTGTAATGAATGAACGATCAAGTAATCAAAGACTATTTCAGGAACAGGAGGAGTACAATGTGAAATATAAGACTATTTGTATAAACAAAGCCTAGCAAAAGGAAATTCTGTCAGCACTATGGCAATCGATGTATTTGCTAAGATCCTAACCGGAAGGCAATGAGTGACCCTAACAACAATTACTATTCGGTTGAGGAAAAAGTCCTGAGCGAAATTTCACTTTCCTTTCCAACAAATACTTTTATATATTACCGTTTAGCTGCGCACGATACCGCGCGCGAGACACGGCTGAAGAGGATGGACTGTCGCGGCAAGGTTAAAGTGCGTTGCGCTGTTCCCAATTGAGGGAGTGGTATTTGAGTTATTCGGGAGGGGCCGTATTTGAGGAGGTTTTTAGGGAAACGGCGTTGTTCTTATGTATTTGGGTGAAGGGCAGAATGAGGAAAGTAGAGAATTTTCCGCCTATTCAACCGTGTTATAACACCCCCCCCCCCCCACCCAAAATCGATATTTTCAGTCGATATCGTCGTTCGATAGCGTGTGAACCGATAAAATTTCCATTATCAGTACAGGCCCCAATCAGATAGTGTGATTTTCGAACTTATTCGAGCACTCTGCACAAAAACCGATATTTTCGATCGATATCA